GTTCTTGTTATTGTTACGTCTAAGAAATTAATTGATTTGTTTGCTTTGGTTTCGAGAGTGAATTTTAGTTTATGGTGGACATTGTTCAAATAATTTCCAAGTATCTTTATCTGCCTTTTATTACCATTGAATAAGATTAATGTATCATCCACATATCTATTTATTTATTTATTTTTTTATTGACAAACAGCTGACGCCAATACATAGGAGATTTAGATTGATACAATTTGAATAAAAATAACAGCTGCAAAATGAGAAACAATTCAGTACAGTATAACAAGCAATAACATTTGACAACAATAATTGAACAATATAATAAATAACAATAAAAAGCAACAATAATACAAGATAACAAACAGGAAGAAGTTTCAATAACAATCTCAAATTCAAGAAAATTTGGATACAGTCCAACCTCAGTATAACGAATCTGAAGGGACCGAACTGAATATTCGTTATATCAAGGATTTCGTTAAAACGAGGTTCGTTATATAGAGGTTAGGTTTGCAGGAATTTTGCTAAGTCGAGGTTCAGAACCAGCGTCGGTCAATATAGGTCGGGATTTGACCTCATTAAAATACAGTACAATTAAAGTAGCATGGGCTACAATACTTTACAGTACAGTGTTTTCATTGTACAGTAGAACCTAAATTATCCGGCATAATAAAGGGGAGGGATCTTGAATATTGCGCAATCATGACAACGGCATTGACCTTGGTACAGGTTAAAAACTGTAAGTTTAAAATCACAGCTTGTTCTAACCCTCCTAAAACCTAGCCAAACACTGTATTGCGTAGTCATAAACCAGAACAAAACAAAACAGTAGAAAGTTTTGTAAGCTACTGCTCGCGATAGGCCGGTAGGCTACTTACAGTACAGTACTGATTTATCACAACAGAGGAATGTCAATAATAATCATTAACTATAGCATTGGTGTTGCTAGTTGAAACAAATCATATTGAAAACAATAAATTATTAGATAAGTCACTATAAAAGTGTATAATCATAGCCAACTTAAGGATAATAAAAACACTCGTAAAAGGAATGTTAAAATAACGATGTTGCTATTCTTTCTCTTTGGTTTTGTTTTTATATTCTTTCTTAGGTTTCTCTTTATCCAAAAATTTTACAATTCACCATAGTTATCCCATATCGCCCAATCACAGCTTACGTCAGTCCTCAGTGAATGAAATCAGTTCTCAGTTGCAACATAGAGCGCGCAGCGACAGCAGACAATATATGTAAAACGGAGCTGAGCAGACGAATGTTAGCGCAAGCGATGACGTGACCTTTCCATTTCATTTGATAAAGAAACAGATTTTCCCAAAACAATAATTGGGTGGGGGATTTGTTATATCGAGGGAAAGACGTAGACAATTCGTTATGCAGAGGTTAAATTCGCAATGTAGAGGTTCTGATAATGATAAATTAGTTATATTGAGGTGTCTTATTTTAGCCGAAATCACGAAAAATTCGTTAAATCAAGGTCGTTGTTATGGTTTGTTCGTTATGTAGAGGTAAAATATACATTGTGTCTTATGGAGAGTTCTAGGGGATTTAAAAAAAATTCGTTATATCAAGGAATTCGTTATATTGAGGTTCGTTATATCAAGGTTAGACTGTAACTAATTTGGGTGCAAAACAAAAATAACAATATTGCATGGACCGAAACAAGCAAAACACAACCAAACATAACAGAAAAAGCGAAAAATCTGCTGTGATGTTTACAAAACAAGAAAGGGCAGTTTTGAAATTACGTATACAAAGAGGCGCAGGCACAAAACACAGAGAGATCACCACTTCACCACTTCGAAGACACCACACTTTTCTTGAAGGAAGCAAGCGACATACTAAAAAGGTCAATGTCATCAGGTAGAGCATTGACGAGACGTTGGGCTCTGGGCAATGGGCTGTAGAGATGATAGTTGGTGCTGAGGTGCTCACGAGAGAAGAGGTCCCTGGATCTTGAAGATCTACCCGCCCTAAAGTTCAGAAGTTTGAGAAGTCCGGGACAGTCAATGAAGCCATTGACCAGTTTGTAGATGAACAAGATGTCCTGGATCTCACGTCTGGACTCCAAGGGAAGGATTTGAAGGGCCACGGAGATGTCTTGGATGGGTACCTCTCTGTAGTTGTAGCCCAACCTCACACCGACCACTCTCAAGAAGTGATTTAAAACCATTTGAAGTTCGGTCTTGAGATAGTCTTGGTGAGGTGACTAAACACAACAGCCAAACTCAAGGTGTGGCAATACAAAGGCCAGGAACAGGGTTTTGAGTAGAGTAACGTCTTGAAAATGTTTGGAACTACGAAGAACAAAACCCAGGGTTTGAAGGGCCTTTCTGCAACTAGTAGTAATGTGACGCTCCCATGACAGGGCAGAGGTCACGCCCAAATCCCTCACTTCATTTACCCTTGCAAGATTATATTGACCCAGGCTATAGACGAACTGAAGCTGAGACTTCTTCTTGCTAAACGATATGGCTACACACTTTTTGATGTTTAGATCCATGAGGTTTGAGACACACCATTTCTGTACGGCATCGAGACTATGTTGGAGGAGAAGGCAGTCTTCGTGGCTTCTAATGGTACGGTACATCTTCAGGTCGTCAGCAAATAGCAGGCAAGGGCTACCAACGTGGGACACCAGGTCATTAATGAAGATGTTGAAAAGTGGTGGACCAAGGTGTGAGCCCTGGGGAACACCAGATGTGGGTAAAAATTCATGGGATAACGAACCAAGAAACTTAACTTGAACGGGGCGGTTTGCAAGGTAGGACTGGAACCAAGATAGCATTCCCAGTTACACCAGCAGCTTGGAGCTTAATGAGGAGGAGCGGATGGTTTACCCTGTCGAACGCCTTAGCAAAGTCCAGATAAATGGCATCTACTTGCAAGCGATCTTGAAAGGCATCAAGGATGTCAGCTTGCATTACCAAAAGATTGGTGGTGATTGAGCGTCCGGTAGAAAATCCATGCTGCAATGGAGACAGATGTGGCTTGATTGCAAAGTTCAGTCTTTTAAGGATCAACTTTTCGAAGATTTTGGAGAGTGTATTCAAGATAGCTATAGGTCTGTAGTTGGGGACATCTAGAGTAGGACCAGATTTGTGGATGGGCAAGATGTAGGCACTCTTCAAAGCATCAGGAAACACACCCGAGGCTAAGGAGTGGTTAAACAGAAATAAAATAACAGGAGCTAGTAAATTAGCACTTGATTTGAGAACATTAGGCGGTATGTTGTCAGGGCCGCAACCCTTAGAGCCATCCAGGTTCCTAAGACAGTCAACAACTTCCCCAAGCTGAAGCGAGCAGGAAGAGAGAACATCCGAAACTCCCACATCAGGTGGAGGATTATGGACATAATCGTTGGTGTAGACCGACGAGAAGAAGTCAGCGAAGAAGTTGGAAATGATATCAGGATGCTCTGAGGAATGATCATCATACTTGAAGGTTCTAGGCTGATCATCAGAAGATTTGAGGTTCCTCACAAAACCCCAGAAAGACTTAGGATTGTCCATTATATTAGCTTGAATAAACTGCAAGTAGTTCTTGTAACAGATTCCAGAGAGTTGTTTGCATTCAGCTCTGATGCGTGTAAACTTTACGTAATCATTATCCTTTAGGGACGTCTTATAGGCCTTGTGGAGGATTTTCTTCTCAATCACCAGCTTACGCAACTGGGGTGTGAACCAGACGGGAAAGGGAGACTTGGCAATATTTTTCATGGGAGTATGACGCAAAACTATGGTACTGACCGTTCTACAGAAACTATTAAACAAAACATTAGTATCGGACTCAGGGCCAAACCAACTGAAATCACGTGACTGAAGTTCCAAATGAATAGCAGGCAGAACACTTTGTTTGAAGTTTGGTCGGAAAGATAGACATATCGGCTATAGACGTTTTACGATTTACGATCCAGAGGCTTACCTACCATGACATTATTAGTAGTTGATTGTGTGTTTTCGTAGTGATCTCTAACTGATGTATTTTGCTTGGCAAAACGATTGTGGAACTCCTTGTACAAATCATTTTTTAGATATCTTACAAGATACATATCCAGATCCCATAACCATCCTGCAAGCTTTTCGCCTTTGATTATAATACAGATATTGTGCTTTATCCTACAAATATTTTTCATTTTTTTTATTTGTCAGTTGATGCTTGGTGTTTATGTGAGGCTTTAATGTGTGAGTCTAATCTAGTAAATGATTTAAGACAGAAAGGACATTGTTCTTTTGCAATATTTTCACCTGTAGGACCTGGATTTTGGTGTATGTATATCACCACATAAAAGCATAAGAAGCGCAATTGTGTTGACTAAGTGTGTTGCTTCAAGTGATTTGTTCTTAAGCAGCAATGTCCAGTACTTTTTATTTGTTTTGTACTTAAGTCTACTTAGCTGAATTTTAGTTTTTGATTTTGTGTGAGTATAGATAAAGGAAAGGTAGTTAAACGTTACTCTATCCATTTCAAAGATATGATGATCCATTGCTTGCTTTTTCAGAAATTGTCCTCTTGTTTGACAAACCAGGGTAATTTTTAGCAATAAAACATTAATAATATTGGAATAATACTCTTTTGTTTCATTTTATATTTGATTTCAAATTACTATTAATTTTGTATCCTTGATTATATCATATCCCTTTTCAGAAAAACCATATTTTTTTGTATTAAAACCAAACAAAACAAATAAGAAATAAAATACTATTTACAAAAAAATTTTGTTAATGTACCTTGGACAATCTTTAAACTTTGAAATCTATTAATTTACTGAGAGTTGCAAACTTACTATGGGTACATTGAGTTCCTCATCTATGTACAAAGAAAAACGTAGTAACATGGAGAATGGACCATCGGGATGAAAAAAAAGGTACCGGTAATTAAAAGTCGGGAATCCCATTTGAGAAATCTGGTAGACGGCTAGTGTATTGCTATCTTATAGCCCCAAACCAAATTTTTGTAATTAATATTAACGGCATGTCTTTAATTTGTTACAGATGAGCGCATTGGCAATTTAACTTTTGTGGTAAATGACGTGAAAGTTGTTGCTCCAATGAAGTCGCAGATTACTCTCATCATCCGTGGAATGTACTCCAACCCACCTAGTCATGGTGCGAGGATAGTGGCTGGTGTTCTCAATGACCCTCAACTCTACCAAGAATGGTGAGTAACATTCCATTGTTGATCAACTTTTCACATCAATTGTCTACACCAGTGGGCTCCAACCTACGGCCCACGAACAGATTTTATCCGGCCCCCGAAGGCCTACTGGGAAATAATTATTTTTATATAATTGGTATAAATCGATGATCCTCAAAGTTGCGTCAACACCCGTAAGTAAATGGTTCATTCTCGGACCTCGGTGATATCATGATCGTCATTCACGATCGTGGCAACTCGGTGATACCTTTATCATCACTCAAGGTCGCGTCCAGGGGTGCCCAAACGCCACTGGAATTATTGGGCATGGGGAGATTTCGGGTGGCTGATATTTTTCTGCTAGCTGTCATAATAAATGTATAATTTTGAATAAGCAGCCTGAACAAGTGTTTATTAGTAGTTCACTAACAACACCATCAACATTTTTCTATTCATAATTAAGATTACTTCTAAAAATTGAGAGTGTTGAAAATATAATGGGATTCATAATAAATAGAGTTCTCATTCAAAATTTGTGTGCTGTCCCTAATTTGTATGTCTTTATTAGTGATGGGTTGATACCACTTTTTCAAAGTCTGGTTCCTAGCCAAAATTGATTCTCGGTTCTCGATTGTGGTACTATTGGTACCTTATTTTAAATTGTTAGCATAGGCTACTTATTTATTTATTTTTTTTAAACAAAATATCCATATTTTAATTTTAAAGTATTTTGCATTGGTATAGGTCGGTAATACAAAACTCAAGGGATTAAGAAAATAAAACTTATTTGTAGCTACAAAAAGAACACACACTTAAAAAACCTAACACATTCAAATCAAAATAATATATAGTGTGTAGCAGAAGTGTTAAAAATATTAGATGAAATTGGTGATGGGTCGATACGAAAATTGATCAATTCTCAATACCAATACAATTTTTTTAATAGTTTTACCAAGTTTTCTCAATGGATTGGTTATACTACACCAACCCATGTCTTTTAGGCAGGGTGCACACTGGAGAAACCCGTTTCAGGAAACCGATTTCATGAAACGAGAAACTTTAGTTGCTCGCAACAAAAAGATTAGCTTAACACAGGGCAGTGCACACTGCGTTGCATGAAACTTTAATTTCATTTGTTTCTTGCAACTGGTATACATGAAATCCAAAAAACAGATTTCGTATAGGCTTCAGTTTCACGTTTCTAATGGTTTTATTGACTTTCTCAATGTATTGTTATTTTTCCTCAGCACTCAGAGCTAACCTCCGGTCGGTGTCCTTCTTTGTTATTAGTGGGCTAAGTAATTCCACCAAACGTTCAAAAAGAGGCTTTGGCATTCTAAAATACCAACAAATATGACAGTATCACTGCATAATTAATGAGCTACAATGTAAGTACTGTGTTGACCATCCTTAATCAACAGATGAACCCAATACTTCCTTCTTTTAGTTTCCTTTAGCCACCACGAACGAAACCGATGGAATCCCGTTTCTTCTGTGTGCATTTGTTAAAGAAATGGTTTCCTTGAAACAAATTTAATGAAACCAGTTTCCTGAAACGGGTTTCTCCAGTGTGCACCCTGCCTAAGTCTTTCTATTAAGTATTTTTGAGGTAGGCTAATAGGGTGTTTTCAAGTAAAAAAATGTATGTAGCAATGAAACATTCATAGTAACCAATTTCCAAGTTTAAACCCGTCTTATCACATCAAATATCTACCATATTTAAGGTACTAGAGAGGTGTGCCAGCCTAATATTTCGTTCTTAAATCATATTATACATATTATTTATTTAGGAATATTTTTAAATCACACAATTTGGAGTATAAAGTAGACTTCCCCACAAGAATAACTTCAACCAGGACGTGATCGAGCCATGCGAACGATCTGATCTTGAAAATGAACGAGCTTTTAACATAAAACCACATTAGGACAGGACGACGTCTGTCGGGCCAGCTAGTAGACAATAAAAAACAATACCGTACTTCAATCACAAAATAAAAAATCCACAAATAATTCCAAATCAATTCGGAAAATTATTAATTCTGAAGTGAATACTAAGAAAAAGCCTGGTAAAAATTTGAAAATTTTGTTCAACGAAAAAATTGAATAAACCCAACATACGTAGGTAGTATTTTTTTTATTAATGTGGTCGATGACCTTGTTCTTCCAAATATTAATAAAAATATAAATACTACAAGTATTGAATCTAACCTTAGAAAACCACCCCAACCAACCTAAAGCTTCAAATTTAGAGAAATTGATGAAAGGCTATTAGAAAAGACTAGGTGAAACCCGTCCAAATCGACGGTTTATTTTCAAGGCTTAATTAATCTAATTGCGATAAATTGAGCAAAATTATACATATTTTAAGCATTTAGCATTGATTAAAGAGTAATAAGTGTAAAAACAATAATGATATTAATTACGTTAAATACAGTACCTACCAAATATGATTGATCATTCAATGAATAAAATATTTATATTTCATATTTCCCATACCGTACGTCATCGGAGTTATTATTAGTATGTTATCTGGTATCTCTTCCTTTGGAAGAACCTTTAAATAGTATTAATTTTGTAGTTAGTTAAACACTTTCGTGATTTCATCAGGGGAATGCAGATTAATCTATGATTTTATTTGAAAAAAATATCTGTTTGTTGGGAGGACACGTTCTAACTTCAATGGGAGGTATACCCGTAAGTTTGGTTTTCCTTTGTCACGTCGCCAGTTCATATCGTAGTTCTGTGCCAATGAATAACCCTCTAGCACAGTTTTGGAAAAAATGGTTGTAAGGTTTCTGTTAAAGCTGGAATTCCTTGACATGGGGGATGTCAGTTAGTTGTATCAGTCTTATCAATTACATAAAGTTGTCAATATAATCTCTCTACAGAATGTTAGGTGTAGTGGAATATACTTGAAGTGAAGTTGGACTTTATTCTTAAACTGTTAGGGGCCTCATCGTTTACATGGCCGTGCGGCTTCATTGGCAACAAATAATGCAAATGACAAAGCAATGTGGCATTTCCAAAAAGCAAAAAAAATACTGTAAATTGGCTGTTACGTAAATATTGACGTTTACATGCATTGTTTGATCAAGAAGTTGATTCAAGAAGTTGATCTCATCTAAAGTATTATCTCACAGAACCAAAATACAGTTATATAAAACAATAATTCAACCTATTCTGTTATATGGTAGTGAAACATGGGTATTGTCCAAGAAAAATGAAAACCGACTCATAGTTTTTGAAAATAAAGTACTGAGAAGAATATTTGGTCCAGTACAGGAGGGACAAATGTGGAGAATAAGGAAAAATAGAGAGTTAAGATCACTATACACCGACCCAGATATTGTTGCAATAGTTAAAGGAAGAAGGTTAAGTTGGATAGGGCATGTGCTAAGAAGAGAGAAAGGAACAAGACTGTATGAAGTTTGGAGAGCCACACCTGGAGGTAAACGTCCATTGGGAAGGCCGAAATTGAGATGGACTGACCAAGTATTGAACGACATCAGGACAATGGGTGCAAGTGTCAACTTGGCAGAGGACAGAGAAGGGTGGAAGAGGCTGGTACACGAGGCGAAGAATCAACTGAGATTTGTGGGGCCACGGCAGTAAGTAAGTAAGTACATGCATTGTTAATCAACGTATCTTATACATTTTTACAAAATGCCAAATGTCGTGTTATTTTCAATAATGTTACCAACCCAGTGGGCCACGGTCCGTATAGGCCACTGCAAATAATTTGTCAAGATAGGTACCATTTTAGGCAAGGTTTCTGTGTTTGGATGTTATTAGAAATGGCAAGAGCACAATAAAATTCTTCTGCAGATGAATTTTCTGTTGGAAAAATATAAGCCGAATTATAAATGTCACAATGCTAGTTTGAGCATTTTGTAACTATATGGGTAAGTTACATGGATTTTTTTAAGGCTGCTGCTTGGTGCACTTTAATAATTTATTTTTTAGAGATAAACTAAATGGTTTTGTTGCTGAGTAGTTCTATAGTTCGGCCGCTTAGAAAACGACCTGCGCGCTAATGCTAAACCAATGCTGGAGGAGGTCGCTTTCTAAGCGGCCGACCTATAGTAAACATGCACAGCCCTTTTCGTTAGTCTATTAACATTCAAAGGCTCTCTAAGAGTTCAAGTTCTTTTTTATATACATATATATATTATGTTTACACTAAGCTGAATGAATACATCGAAATTCTGCAGTAAAGTGTTTTATCCAGTTGCTGTAAACTACTATTAATCAAAATATAGACACGGCTCAAATGGGCACCGTGCCCTTCTGCACTTGTATTATTTTGTATTGTATTACACAATCGATAGTTAAGGCAGACTTTTCCAATGGTTGAAAACATGTATGACAATAATCTAATGAACCTATGATGATCTGTCTAGAATAATAAGATAAAATATCAAAATTTGTGAAAAGGCAGACACCAACCCGTAAAATAGATATAAGATAGTTTAATAAGAAATAATTGTGAGATTTACTGTGATAACAGGATTTTCCACTGATTTTGTAATGGAACGTTATATTGCTAAACAGGACATGATACAGAAGAAAATCAGTTTTAAAATCAGAAAACAATATTGCAAATACTTCTTTTGTACAATTCAGTAACTGTGTTGTTTAAAATACAATTTAAAAATTAACAGCTGTTTCATTAAAAGGTATTATCCACATGGCCAAAATGTAAAATCGAGCTGCAAAATAGATTTGAAGCTTTAGGCTCTATAGATGACTTAAGTATAGAAGAACATTGGCTTGGTATAACAAACACGTATATGAATACTTTAAATGATGTTTTAGGCTTAAAGAAGGCAGGGAAGAAAGATTGGATATCTGAGGACACGTGGAAAAAAGTGGAAGACAGAAGAGAAGTTAAGAATAAGATAAACTCTTGCAAGACCAGAGGACAAAAGAGGGATATGAAGATACTCTATAAGGAAGCAGATGTAAAAGTGAAGAGAAGTGCAAGGACTGACAAACGAAAATGGATGATTTATTTATTTATTTAT